ATATACAACTGTTTCACAATAATATTATAATCAAAATAGTCAGGAATACTTTTGTCTATTTTAACACATTATAAACCTCACACTTGAATCTTACAACATTTTTCATTTTTCAAGATATACTGAAACTCTGAAGTTTCAGAAACAGACACTCGCGATGTACTCGTGTTGAATGCTTTAGCAAACTCCACGAGAATACAATACACTTTCTTTTTATTTTTTGTATAAGTAAATTTCAGTTATTGCGTATTACGCTAAATATTCTCGGCGAAAATCTGTCCAAAAACATCATCAATCAAATAAAGCACCCTCAGCACATTTATCTATTTTGTTTAAATTAGTACAACAATATATCTAATAGTGTGATCCCAATCTCTCATTCAATTTGAGGTTCATCATTCTTCTTATACATACTGATCCTAGACCATATTTGGCCACTGTCAACAGCAATTTCATCCTGATTTGTTTTCTCTACGTATAAATGCCGTTCATTATCTGAATATCGGTAGAATCAATCAGAATATAAAGTGTTGTCTAATGTTTTCAATTTAACGTTATTGACCCAGGCGTTTAACTTTCACGTTTTATTCTGTGAAGTTATTGACGCAGTCTGTCTAATCAAGAAGAATTGAGATGTACGTTACTTTGTCAATAATTATACGACCCTTCTTTAGCATTTCTGACATTGAATTCCTCATAAAGTAGCATTTCTGTATTGTTCAATTTTGAAACATATTTTCAAGAACTTATTGTTTTCTACTACATAGACAATAACCTCAATGCAACTACGGCGAATTTCATTTATACGAAAACTAAAACACTCAAAACTTTTTTATTTCAATTATCGATGCCTGGATTTACATGTAATTTTCGATAAAATTATTTTAAATATCTACACAATCTGAACTGCACTATATTTAGTTTTAATTTTTTTTTTAAACTTTCAGACTTAGTTAGTTAGTGTCTTGTTCGTCTACGGAATACAGTATGGCATAGTAGCTATAGATTCGAATTATGTATAACAATGTAAGAAAGTATACAACTATATCTAAAAAAATATCGAATCGTAAAAGAAGGGATGCTCTTATGCACGGTTTTGAGTACTAGTTTAGAAGTTCAGTTAATGTCCGCGTTTCAAAATTTTACGATGATATATTGTAGCACTAACTTAATGAATCACATGGTATGTTAAGAAGAGGAGTCGAAAGACGTTCCTGCTGATTAGTTAGCAATTTTCTCAAAGCAGGCAATGATATACCTGAAACAATATTTTACCATTGTCTAAAAATGTTATCTCGAGGCGAACTTTAAATCTCACGGAAGTCTTCGCACCGCCTTAAATGAAATAATTACGCATTACTGGTAGACTATTGTTAAAACTAGGGACCCAGAAATTCCGGCGACGAATGATACTAAAATTTAACTAGCACAACTCTTCCAGAAAAATGCTTTATTATTTGGCGCCCAATATTAAAAAATATTAGGAAAGTCCAGATTAATTGTGGAACGGTCAATGTTGCCCTTCCCTTAATTATCGTCCAAGGAAAATGTTCGGCAGTATTGTCAATCTCTGGAACTCGCACATGTAACCCGATGATAATTGCTTTTGTCTAAAGATAATGGTGTATAATACATAATACAAAATAATCGTATTTTTATAATAAATACAACAACAACTGTTATCCAATTGATAATAATTCGAAAGTTAATATTGTGTTGTTATAATACAACAATCAATTTGAAGCCCACTCTAAAATCTACATTCCCCCATATAAAAAAAAATAATTCGGAAAATTCACTGAATTAACCATTTTACAAGATCCTTGGTTTGATAGTTAAATTAATTTACATGATTCAAGTGTTCGTGTTAATTTCTGAAGTAGCGCTCTGGTTTACCTCAATATGTGTATGTGTTAATTTCTCAAAGTTACATATAATTTAATGCTAATGGGATCAAAAACTAACATAGAAAATTATGTTCAGTAAAATTATTTTGTTTTTGAAGCAGAGTTAGATGTCTTGCATATAACTGATCAAAATCGACATTACTATATGCATATTATAAGACTAATGTTACAGTAATACAATCGAATAATGACTAGTGTGTTAACCAAATGTGTAATATGACGTTATCGAGGACACAATATACATGCGTCAATATTCATTTGCATATCAATAAGGTCAGTAAATTGGTCATATTTCCGTTTCCATTTTACTAATGTATATCAAATATATAATAGATTTCCAGATAATGCAATAAAGTACTATTGTGTCAACAACTGTTTAAGTTTGTTTGTTGGTGTGCGTTATATTTAGTCGGGTTTATATTTGTTCTGATCGTTGACTTTGTATTAAAAGCATGAAACTTGGGGCACACTTATACAATTAAATATGCTGACCTTGTTGTATTGATGTCTTGTTGTCGAAAACCGCATGTCATACTCTCATTCTTTGATTTTTGTTTTCGATTTAAAACATTGATATGAGTCTTTTAGTTTCAAGTTAATAATATTCATAAGTAGACTGCATGGTGCACGTGGCTGTTTAATGTATATCAACACTATACAATTTTACAATACACAAGTAGATTATTGCAATGTACAAGCCGTCTGAACATTATATAAAGCTATTTTTTCAAGCCCACAAATTTCATCTAACGGAAAATATGTTCTAAAAAAGCTGGTGAACATAACATGGCTTAATGCATTGTAAAAATCGTACTGTGATTTTTGATTCATTTTCATCAATAAATAATAGATGTAGCTGAATACAAAATGATAAATACTCAATGTCAACAGAAGAGAAGTAGAAAATTGCAAATTTTGCTGTCACTACTTAATAATGGTGTCATGAATCATTGATGATTCACCATTACAAAAAGAAAAAAAAAGCAGTACATTATATTAGTCCTGCCTTTCTGAACTTGCACTCATTTTGCAGCCTTTTTTTGTTCGTACTACTCAGACGTCAGTCGTAAACTGAAGTGTAAGATGATAAGTTTACAGATGAGCGTCTCAATCATTAGGTTTCTGGTGTGAGCATGACGCTGCACGGACGGATTAAATAAACAAAACAAAACCGACGTAAAGACATCTATGAGACCCATAAGAGTCCTTGTAGCAATGCCACGTATATCGGTATAATACTTGTTATTGAAGACGAAAGCAAATTAAGAGTAAGGACAAACTCGGCTAAGCGTAGAAGAACGCGTGTAGCTAATTAGAGCACTTGACATTCATAAAGAATATTGTTTTCAACTCCTCGCTTGACGTTTGGTGCAAGAAACTTTAATGAATCAATTATTTCACTTGTATTAGTAAAATCTGTTATGCACATGGTAAAGAACGGTTGATAATGAACATTACTTTGCCATTTTAACGTGAAATTCACCGGGACAAGAACAACCAGAAATAATCGCGCTAACTATTTTGAGAAGCATATAAAAGCGTGAGGTACTTGGGTGTGATATGACCGATGACTTGGCATTGGATGATAAGGAACTAGCTGAAATGATATTATTAACTATTTTAACAATTGCTTGTATGTATGTAATGATGTGATAACATTCGAAGTGCTTCTAAAACAGTTTTCTGATAGCTGGCGCTGTGATTCACCAATGCATAGATCTTTGCGCCTGACTAACACAAGCTCATTTATCCATTCGTTGGTTCCCGGCGTCCTTTACGAATGGCAAAGAGGAGGCAGGTAGCTAGTAATCGCCACATTGTTCAACTGGGCCAGGATTTCGGCCCAAATGCACGTGACTTGAGTTCCGTTCTACGTAAACGTTTCTGTAATACTACAATAACGCCTAGTCCATTCATTCCGTCTGTTTAGACTTCTTATCTGAGATGGTTCTAAAAAAAACCTGCTTTATACAAGGAACGACCACGAGGGTGAGCGCTGACGTCAGGTTACCAAGGGAAATAGAACGAATAACGAGAACATGATGGACCAATCAGAATGCTGTAATCAATACTACTTACCGGCTTCTTGTGGCTTGGTGCACCATGACACTTGAGGTCCAGCCAAATTTATGCAGGCCGTATATCATTTACTTTTAACACTGGATGGCGCTATATCCATTATCACTCGTTCGGCATCCATTGAGCTAATAAAACAACCATTTTTGCACTATCAGGAACAAACGAAAAAAAAACATGTATAATTACCTAATTAAATTGTAAAATTGCAAATAATAAACGTTATGACTAATCAGTCATCGTGTTAAATCCTCTTATTTAATTAGCAATACTTTTGGTGACAGTCTACCTGTGCTACGTATTTTGGCAGGATATTCAAGTGAACAATATATGTACTGTGTTGAAGAATACGAACGCTTGAATTTAAGAACTATGTGAGCTTTAATTTACGAAATTCAAAATACATACGTACCAAGATGGTTGTCTTAAAAAAATGACGAGTTGAATAAAAACATAATAACAGTGTTCTGTGGCTTCCTGGTTTATACAGAGGTCGCTCACTCAATAGAAAAAATACAAAAAAAAACAAAACATAGTCTTTTTACATTTTCATCAGATAAGTAAGACCAGTGCATGAAACGTGTTCAAAACTGAAAACATCGTTAAGCTTTTGTTGACAAGCATTTTAAATGCCAAGACAAAAGGTAATATTATTGTGGAAATGTGAATTACACTGCCCTCTATCATAACAGCTAAAGTGGAGACCTAAAACGAAAGGCGGCCACTAGAGGAAGGGGGAAGGCGATGAGCAACAGTAGTTCATTGCCAGTAACCCATATGTATATATTCAAATGGAATCGTTATTAATTGTTCATTTTGAGAGTTATATTCACTCTGCATTAAAGACGCTGCAAGGCTTTGTGTACAATGAGTATTTCAGTTTCCATTTAAGAACGTCTAATTCTCGGGAATTGAATTTGCATTCTCCGCTTGTGAAACGGAAAATTTAATCAGTGTGGCCTTATTTGTATTTATAAACGGTGTATGTGCGTAGTAACCTGAACAGAACGTATTGCTCAACATAACTGCTAAATACAAGAGATACACTGGTATTATATCTGTGTCCACTCCGAACGTTTCTACCATGACGGGGAGCAGCATGTACAGTCCTTTAGCAGTCAGATTCACTAATATATCGTACAATGTCACCGAGGATTGGGATCATCACCACCTGCCCGAATGGATCTTTCACTTCTTCATGCCTTCGCTTTTCAGTGTAGTGTGCGCAACTGGGATAATTGGGAACAGTCTCGTGATATTTGTGTTTCTGAAGTACATGCCATCAAATATCGTGCCGAATGTGTATATCCTTAATTTAGCATCGACTGATTTGATCATTATGCTTGAGCTACCGTTCCTGACGTATTTTAATACGACCAGGCGTTGGGTGTTTGGGGATGTGATGTGTCGTATTGTGATGGGAATCGACGGGCTAAACGTATTTACAGGTATTTTCACTTTGGCAGTGATGAGTGTAGACCGTTACCTAGCAATAGTCCATGCCGTATGGTCTAAAAATCACAGATCAGTGACACAGGCTAGACTGATCTGTTTATTTATGTGGTGTGCTTCTATCGCTATAACGCTTCCGTTATGGATGTATGCCCAGACACAGACCTTTGGTGTCGATACTATGTGTAACGTTCTCTGTCCGGAAGAGGTGGAAAGAATATTCTCAATTTATTCATTTGTTCTCGGATTCTGCACACCGCTTATGATTATACTGCTTTGCTATTTACGAATTTTAATTTTCTTAGCAAATTGTAGAAGAAAAAACAGCCATGGTAATCGTCACTCAAAACTTGGAAAAGTAGGAATTCTCGTCCTATTAGCCGTTGTCTTGTTCATAGTATGCTGGTTCCCGTTCTGGCTAGGACAAATAATGGTCTTCGCCGGGAGAAACACTTTCGCCGTTAGAATTGTCTACTATGTCGGTCACAGCCTTACGTATGCTAATTGTTGCCTTAATCCACTGGTCTACATCTACGTTCGTCAAGACTTTCGGCAACATCTGAAAAAAATAATTTTTTTTCAAAAATGTTTGATTCGCAGAGAAAACAACTCAGCGGCTAGTGCGAGCAAGGAAATAACAGAAACAGCGCAGACAAGAAATACAAAAGTCTAATCTCTTTGTAATTGTGACCTGTTGACGTATTTTTAGACATCTCACACATCTCTTAATCTAATCTATACTGCCCACGTCGCATGTGTATATGCCAGATACGTATTTATTATTCATAACAGTGTTTATAATTAATATAACTTCGGTTGAATGTTAACGTTGCTATGGAGACTTATCCAATCACGACACTTAATCAAAACAAATTTATTTTTTATTTTTATGACGTTTACCAGCCAATATTTTCGATAAAAAAAATACACTAATTGATATTTCATATAACAACAGAACGGGTCAAACGCTAGTTGTATTCGCGGTTTGACTGAGTGGAAACGGATATCCAGTGAACAATCGTTATCTATACGCATTGTTTTTTTGGCATCAATATAATGATCAATGCCATCAATGTAATGCATCATTGACCTCGTTGGGTGAATCTATCAATACAATGGTATATTCAGAAACTTTCAATGATTTGACATAGGTTTGGCATAATTTCTTTTTTATTATAACAATAAATTTGACATGTCAGAATTGTGGTTTAAAACTAAAATATAGACAACGCTTGACCTAATTTGAAAACTCGATATACGGAAGCCTTTCGGAAATAAAATTACTTGCCAGTATCTTTATCCATAATTCACACCACTGTGATTTGTTGATAAATTACCCCAAGGGCGTGTAGCTACATGGATAATTATTTATAAGCGTTCCCAGAACTCGAAAGCGATCGATCAGAACAATAATCACAGTGTAATAAGTGTAATAAATACAATTTTCTAGGGCATGGCTAAGCAAAATCGAATATTCTGGATGCTCATTTATGTAACTCCTTATTTTTGAGGAGAACAAGTATTTTCTTGTAGTTTATGATTTTATTATAAGCACAGTTAGTTTGCAGATGGAAATCGTAGAACACAACATGACGTTATTTTCACATATACCCTCAAACGATGCGAACTACATTGATGTGGTTCGCACTGATCGACGCACGGGTAACTTATTTTGTTTTTGAAACAGAAGCAGTTGTCGTTTTTGTGATTACGGAAAATTCTGCATAAAATGTGTTATATTTGTATTATTTGAGCACTCTTTATTTACTGTATATTGTTGTATGTAACATGTGATGTCATTATATTAGAATAAATTCCATCTTGCACCCATTACCATTGAATCTCATTTCCGGTGTGCTATTTTTTCTTGATTGCGTGTATTGTGCAAAACATTTCCACATCATATAGACACTTATGAATGCGAGTGAAGATGTAAAAAGTGAGGCCTTAGAATGTGAAAATGTAGTTGTCCATAGTTTCGCTCAAAACCTACATGATGTTTTAAAACGGTCACAATATCGTATTGAAGTGTTTCTTGCTTCGATGCGATCTCTCATTCCACTGTTGCAATTTACGATGGGTAACACGCTGACATCAAATAATAATGAGGTTTTTCTCATTAGGTACCTCATTTCTGTATTGTATTAACAAAGCACCATTTGTGGTTTGTATTCTAATCGGGAGAAATCGATATGTTAAGCGGGTGTGCTGCGTATAGTCGTCAGAAACGTTAGCAACAGTTGAGTACGTTGATTCGACTGACATATAAAACTACCAGAAATATTACGATTTGATAAAGATTAAAACAATCCTTCTATGAGAATAGTATCAATTATGTTGCATCAAATTTGTATGATGAGAATCTTAGCGAACTCTGCCTAGCGCGTTCAACGATTTCTCCATGGATAGCGAAGACGCCATGTACACCATCAGTATAATACTAATTACTTTAGTGATGAATATTCATACAGATTATTCCTCATTAATGACCTAATATATTTAATTGAGAAAAATAGTTCAGTGCGAATTCCTCTGTGTATGCAGTTGATCAACTAAAACTCACTATCAGCTTCGACTTCGCTCGACTGATTTTCGCTATGATTGCAGATTAACCATAACCTCGCGTTTTGCCAATCTGTTTGTTATTACAATATTGCTAAGATGCTGCTCACAAGTCACGGTGACACACAAAGTACTTAATATTTTTTTAAGCAAACAAATATCACCCTATCGCAGTAAGTTACAGCGTGGAGTTATTGTGCGGTATTGCGCAAAGTATCAACATCTTACCTACGCTAATTTCAAATGTGGAACGATTACTTGGCAATGTTCATGGCGAGAGCTTTCCGACGAATTTCATCACATTCCAATCAATTCTTGACACTTTAAACCAATAAACGAAGCAATTAGATCGGTAAAATATATAATAAGTTCATGCATCATTCGGTAGACACTGCCGCTGTACTGACTTGCATATTTGGGACACCATCGCAATAACCTCATAATCATTTAACCTGTTTTTAGATGACGTGATTTAAAAAATATTTAATAGTGTAATGCCGCTCTAAATTAGCGACCTTCATTAAAAAACAGCGTACATAATAATACAATCATGTTATGTCTGTTTCGTTATAACGTTTTGTCTGGTAGCAAATGTATTATTTGCAAACGGGCACATTTATGACTTCTACTTTAGAAAACGATGATCCCGACATTATCAAACAGCGAAATACTACACTACGTGTATATGTTTGTATATGAGAGATAACTCAATGAGGTTGCTAAGAACTTGTTGCACGCAGCCGGATGCTCATGTAATGTAACGCGATGCATCCGTATGCGTTGGTCCGAACATCATCCCCCCACTTAATGTTTACTTCAGTTGCCTGTCCCTGTATTTTCTAGCGTCATCGACTAAATACAGTAATGTTGAAGTTTTACACGTCACCGTGATCAAGTGAGAAGGGCATTGTTATGATTTACTAGTACTATTCCTGCTCTTACGAGACAATCATACAACTGTCTAATTATCGTTGCTTAGATTCATAGGAGGAATACAGTTTTAGCACAAGTAAGGATCCAGATGTATTACAAAATCCACAACAGTGTGATATTTAAATAATTACACATATTTGTAAGGCCTTAGGCTCTGGTATCATCAGTATTATGGTCATGACCACCACCCTTTGGGCAGGCAACAAATCGTGATATTGAATGACCATTTATTTTATCACATCGAGCAGACATCCACTATGCACAAATACATCTATCATACATCACTCACACTCACTCTCCCACAATAACACTTATATTTGAAGTATGCAATATTATTTTATGTATTTAACATTACTCAATATTACAAGTTTACTGCTATTTTCAGCCACGGATACTTTTTTTTAGTAACCATGTTTTAACAGCGTGAACCGCTCAATTTATCGAGTATAACATTTTTTAAATGAATTGAGAAATTTTCAAACGCAAGTTATTTAACCACTCGTCAGATACAAATGCCGTGGAAGTGGCGGAACTTTTTAACGAACGTACTACACCTCTTCACAAGTCACACAGCTTAGAGCGTTTTCGGTTAGCATCGGCGACGTTTCAGTGGCGTCTTTGCCGTTCATTTACCTTAAACATTAAAACGGAGTATCTTACTTAATATTCATTATGGCACGTTCACTGTCTATTTCGAATGGCTAAAGCTCCTTCAAAACCTTGTAAGCATCCTCGAAAGAAACAGTGGTAGGGGCAGCACCAGTGTAGCGGACGACAATTTGTTAGCGCAGTATCGTTGCGCAGTAGTTTAAGTGACGTCATCCATGTGATATTTTATTTATTCAATACACAGTTCAACGGGCAACCCATTAACAAAACTGAAAAAAATAAACAATACATTAAGAAACACATACAAATACAAGAATAAACAGATATACATCGAAATGACAAAGTAACTAAATAAAATGAAAAATAATTGTACAGTACTGCCTGATTTAAAAATATATTTAGATGAAAAAATATCAATATTACATTTAAATGAAATGTCATTAAATAATTTCATACACCTTAAAAGTGACGAATGTTTCCCGCAGGTTTAAAAAATGGTTTGCGTCTCAAACACCTATTTGGAACATCAAAGTAAATATTGACAAGAATAATAGGGCAGTCATAAGAAAAATTAACAATTTCATATAAAAATAGAAGATTAAGAATAGTTCTCCTATTAGAAAAAGACGAATGTTAAAAAGTTTGCAATAAATAGGATAACATGAAATACTGCAATGCACACGTAACTTTCTACATCCATATTTAACAAATATAAATTGCTAATTTTCAATTTTGTTAGAAAGCCCTTTTTGATGAGGGCCATAAGGCCATATTGAAGAATAGATCTGACAAAAACAAGATACAAAGAAATATTTGCATTAAAGCTATAACAAGAACGTTTAATACAACCCTGAGATTATACCCATGTAATATCCACTTGGCGGGCAATATACCATGTAATATCCATCATGTGACCGAGTTTCAACCATTCACAGCATGCGTAACATCAGTGAGATGTGATATACAATTAGACTGCAATCCCATTACACCGCGTATAATTACCTTGCACGCTAATCCATATTGGTCATGCGGTTATCTTTAAATTATTCTCACAATAATTAAGGCCGCTTATTATTATCCACGATTGCGATTCTAATAGTGTTTTTTTGCGATATATTAGCTCGTACTGTGTTTTATTTATTTCACGAGAAGAACAACTCGTTATTGCGAGTTAGAAAGATAGTATCTCGCTAATTCGAGGTAGTTTTTATTTTCATAAAAGGAGTCATTATATCTTCATCACGTGGTAGTTTTTCGATTTTTCCCATTAGGAGAAGTAACACTTTTTTATTGATAGTCCTAATGAGGCTCAGTATTTATCAGACGATAACTGGCCAATGGTTGGGGTCAAGTCACGAAAGCACAGTGAAAGCTTTTATGAATCAGCAATATCCAATATGTTTGTCTACATTTTGTAAACCTATTATGTTTCATTCACGTTTAGAAATCCTGTTTCTTTTAGCTGCAAAACCACGCTTTTTCGCATGCATTCTCATGCAAGGCTCGCTAATCACACGGTCGACTTCCAATTTTCACACATTTACTGGCAGGTAATACATGGAACTGCCT